ACCATTTAATTTATTTTTTTTTTTTAATTATTATCCTGAATCTATACTCACCTTTTTATGTTCCACAAGTTTTGGCCAATAACTCTCTGACCATCAACAGGTTATATGGCCCAGAGCTTAACATAGCTATAGTTACTGCCCTTAACCTTCTAAACAGTGTTCATTTTTCAAATAAAAAAAATTCATTTTATTCTATGTTTGCTATTAATAGAACAATGGTGATTTTCTATATACTAAACAAATCACAAATAGAAAAAAGAAAAGATAATCTGTGCATACTAACACAATTTAAATACCATATAAAGAAAACTTGAATTAAACTAAGAATAAAATAAAGGTTATTTGAAGATATTACGTCTTTAATTATTCATTTCTACTGTGTCTTATCTAAAATTTATATACAAATTCTAAGATAAGCATCAACTAATAAAGCATAGTTGTATTGTGGCACAAGGTCAAATTTGATACAAGGAATGTGCAATTTAGTAAATATTATATGTAACTGAGTATACTTTATGATAATGTACTCTTGGGTCTGTAATTGTACCCCTACCCAACCACTTATCAACCACCCCCACCACTCTTATTCTTATTTATTTTTGTGAAAATTCCTTACAAAAAGATTTCAATTCTAAAAAATTGATCATTAAGAATTGCAAAACTTACTTGATGCAGATTCTAAAATTTCATTTAAATTATAATTTATTCAATTCTAAAGATTCATTCAAATCATAACAATTTGAAATATTGGGTTGGAACGAATATTCATAGCATTTTTAAGTGAATTTCAAAGACAATATTTAGATATCTGTATACAGATTTATTCAACCATGTATGTGCCATTTTGTTTAACTATCTTTCACTATCTTTGCAGTAGCTTCATGATTCCATCCCCCAGGACTTGGCATCTTTATGGTGATAAACTGGTATAAGTGATTTTTACAGGCTTCCAGAGAATTGAAGTTCATCCCATTAAGAGAATGTTGTAGGGAACAAAGTATTAATCCAAAGTTGCATGTCAGTTGAGAATATCAGGTGTAGTAGGATATCTAGACAATCTGTATCAATTTCTGCTGCATTTTCAAAGTGATATAAGATTTAGCATTGTCCTGATGAAAGACAACTGATTAATTTTGATTAACTAATTCCAGACACTTTTCATCAACTGCTGACTTTAATCAATCCATATGAGAAGAATACTTCTTTGAATTTAATGTCTGATTTTGCAGAATGTCCTTTCAAACCCACCAGTTACACAGCATCGTCTTCTTCAGCATTTGATTTCTTCAAGATGTTTTTCACTCCATATTATAGTAAACAATTGATTTTTCATCATTTGTGATTATTCTTTACAAAAATGGGTATTTTTTGTTGCATTTGAGAAGAGGATTGCACATAGTAACATGCTCCATTAAATTGTTTGCTGTTAACTTGTAAAACACCAAAACTTCATTGTAATTCACATATCCAAGTGTTTTCAAATGCCTTACAATATTTATATGAGTATCTCTACAACATTCCATGTCATGTGACCTGTGGATTATTTTTAATCGATGTTTCAATTTAATCATCAACTGCAGTCTTGCCAGAACATTCTGTTTTCCAGATCAAAATTTCCACTTCTGAATCTAGCAAACCACTTACAAGCAGTACTTTCAGCTATGGCACCATCTCCATAAATGGCACATCTTTTCTGTTGTCTGTACATTTTTTCTTAAAATTCCCAATCTACTCATGAATCATATGGAAAGACATGCTGAAATGTTACCTATCAGAATATGCATATAAATTTCAGTCACATATGAAACAAAGTCACATGTTCAAACACTACTTATTGAAAAATTCTACAAACTTTTATTCCAAACTAATATTACATATTTTAGTTGTCTTGCCTTGTTATATTAAAAATAATCTAAAAAATATGGTGGAGCAAAGAACATTGAGAGTTAGCTCTTTCTACTGAAGAAAAAAAAACCCTTGCAGCTGTTGTGCAAAAATATATGAACGGGAATTAGATCAATTACAAGATATAACACATTGGGACACTAAGTGAGAAAAAATGCGTTTCTGACACAACAAAACAAGGATATCTTACCAAAACACTTTGCTCTTTTTAGTGTAAGTTGAGTACAACTAAAACAAAATGATAGACGATCCGTAAAGAAAAGAATAACAAATGAGGAACATTAGAAATATGCTTTATAAGGTTTATATTTAATTGAAGTAAAAAAAATTTCAATAGAAAAAAATTGTTTTAAATCTCATTAAATAATTTTCTATATGTTTATATACAATTCCTTCATACAAATCAACTAAATTCTAAAATAATCCTGCTCCATGCACAGATTTTTCAAGCCCCTCCACTACTTACTAGATATTGAGAAAAGAAAAAAATTTCCATCCTGCCTTGTAAAACCCAAGAGTACATTATGTTAGATTTTACTATGCAAGAGTTAAATATAAGATATGTGCAAGTTTCTTGTAATTTTGTTTTAAAAAAATAGAGACTGAATAGCCAGTAGTAAAGTGTCATATTTTTTAAATTAAAAACTTTCCATGTAACAAATATATATGTACATTAGTGTATATCTAATGTTTTAATTTAGATAGTAATAATAAAACCTTTTTAACCTATTTTATATATTTTTATACTGAATAAACACAGATTGCTAAGTAATGAAAATCAGAGAAGAGGCCTCCAAGAAAAGACCATGAATTTTCAAAGTAAATGTTTGATCTCTTCGATGCTTTCAACCTGAAATAATTTGTTACAGAAATCTTTCTCTTTTCCATTTGAGATTGTCAGACAGATGAATGAACATATGGCTGTAAATAAGATTAGCAATGATTAACCATTTAGCATTCAACACGTTCAAACCTGCATCATAAATATCGGCTCTCAATGTTCAACCTGCTCCATGTATACTCTGCTATAATATGTGACAATATCATCACAAGTAACTCAGGAAGTCATGCAAACAGTAAGACTTTGACCACATGCTACTTCTGCCATCTCTTCTTTGTTTGATTACCGAAGAAAATGCAAGTTTTATGACCTTTTTTTCATCTTTTTTTGACAATGAGAAATCAAGCATCACAACATAATGGAGTCTAGTGACTCAGAGTGTACATTTGAGGAATTTTCAGTCCAGGTTATTCCAGAATTGAAGAAAAAAAAAAAAATAAAAACTAAAATAAATGCAAGATGAATCAGATATTGACATTTTTGATATTAATAATCACAAGCTGACTGTTTTAGAAGGAGATAATTATGTTGACACATGTGTCAGATCTTGACTGGACAAACAATATCTACGATGTCAATTTCTCAGCATTTTTGGAACCTAATAAACATACACATTCATTATTGAAGGATGCCAGGCTGAACTATTTGCCTTTGTTTTTGACAGATTTCCCTTTCTTGCATTTCACTCATTTAATGCATTCAGCTATAACGCTTTAAAGCATAAATACAGTTTTATAACATGTTGTTACTTATAACAGTTCGATCTTGGATTCCTAACATCGGATATAACATTCAAATGGAATGACTTATTATTACCTATATATCATTATCTGTGTTTATGTGGTGCTCTTTCATCATTTAATTTGTGTTAGCAGACTTTATTTATGCTGGTATATGTGTATGTGGGTATGTAGGCAAAAAGTTTTCCTAGATAACTGATATACAAAATCTGATAGTTCTCTGATATTTTTATATACACCGATGTTTATATGTAGACTTAATAGATGTTAATCACTCCATATCATTTTTTTTTTGCTAATATTGTTAATATTTTCTTCCTCATTAGTTTTTTTAAGTACAGATTAATTTAATTTTACCCATATATTTTTATGTTAAATGTATGTATGGATGGGTGCATGGGTTTTTATTTTTTAGGTTTATATATATGTTGTATATATGAGTGTATGTATGAATGTATGTATGTATATGTATGCATGCAAGTAAAGTTATATGTATGTGTTTGTGTGCACATATGTGTATGTCTATGTGTGTATATGTATGCATGAGTGTGTGTGTGTGTGTGTATATACATATGCGTTTTTGTGCATATAAATAGTAGGTCTTTAATAGATTAAATATTTTTATATGTTTATGTTAAATTTGTAACCTGTAGGAGATATTACTTGCTTTGTCTAATTATTCTTGATTACAAATCATTTCTCTTATAAATGCCCTCGTTTTTAGGTTGCCACCAACCTTTCATTCTCCCCACCCCTCTCATCTTCTCTTTTATTGTATACATCAGGTTAGTAATGCAAAGCAGACAGAAAATGTTCATATATGCATTGGCAGTATGAATTGGCTGGATTTTAAGTTTAGAGCATATTGGTTTTTATTGTGTGTAATGTCACCACAAATGTATCCACACATTTCCAGTGTCTGTTTTTTAATTTTAGGTCAGCAAATCAGTAGTGATTTATGCATATTTATCAGTATCTCACTCATTTAAACTGTTATCTAACTCCTCCCTTTAAAACTTCTCTGTTAAATTTTAATCCCCACCTTCACCTTTAGGCCTTCCTGTTCTTCTTTCTTCTATTACACCTCTCTCTAGAGCTTTCATACATTTCCCTCTCACACTTGTTTCCCACTCCCACACATACACTCTCACTAAAATTTTGTTTTTTTTACCCGGAGTTAGATCTTCCGATTTCTTTTTGAATTTGTAGGTCTGATGAATTGGATTGTGATTACGATTCCAATGTAATAAATTACAACCATGGAATATTAGTGTTTGAGCCTTTTATATTATATTTTTACTCTGTCCTGGACATTGAATTCTACCTGGATTCTATCCTCTTGGGGATTTATGTGTATGTGTGTATATATATATATATATATATATATATATACACACACACACACACACACACGTGTGTGTGTGTGTGTGAATGTTAAAGGGTTAAAGCATGAAATCTTGTAAGGATGCCAAAAGATTCATGGTGAGAGTGTTTTAGATTTTTTTCAAACTAACCTGCAGGGTTGAAAGGATAAAAGTCCAATGAGAGTTTATTCAGCGTGATCTGCATGGCACCTCCTTCAATACGGGAATTGTGAGTAGGACTAGAATCTGAGAGAGAGAGAAAAAGAAGAAATTATTAACAGATAGAGACACTTTATAATCATACATAAATCAATATTTCAATGTTTATTCATATCATCATCAGATCAATATGAATAAGTAACAAAAACAATCACTTTCCAATTTGTTAATAAAATACTTACTTACAAGTATGTTTTTTTTTTATTTCAGAATTTCATTTTTTAAAACTACTTGTTTGACTAAATTGACTAACTGGAAAAAGAGTTTTTCACTGACCTATATTAGTTTAGAGAAAGAAATTTGTATAGAGCCTCAGACCTTTTAATATGCAGTTTCTTTCTCTAGCTGCTGAACCAAAGTCTATTAAAGTACAAGTGGTCAAAATTCTCAGCCTAACCAAGAAGAAATTGAAAGAAAAATGTTGGGTTATTTGGTCAGATTTTGAGAAGTAAATTCATACAATGACTTTTTAGCATTCCTCAATGTTGCTAGCAAGATTATTCATACCAAAGATTTTATCATTATTTTAAAAAGATTAAATTCAGCTTTACTCAATGTTGAAAATAAGCCTTGAAAGAGGATTAAATTTCTTAATTTTGTTTTTATTTTGACAAGAAACTAAAACAAGAGTTGAGAGGTAATCACATGTCAAAGACTTGCTGGGTAGATTCACCTGAACATCTGTTGCTGTGTTTAATTTTTGTTGATCTTAACATTTCTCCCTCTCTTTCTTAAACTATTGATTTATATGCACCCTCTCGCTCTCCATCTCTCTCTCTTTTATAATTCTCTTTCAAATTTCATTTCTTTTCCTTTTTTACTTATCTCTTCCTACTCTATACACCTTGTCCTGCTTCCAGCTGTTCCCAAATATAATGAGTTGAATTGCAATCCTATTAGTCAGCTCTTAAGAACATCCAGGAAATTCAAACTTATTTAATATATTTGAAGAGCAGTAGTTTGCATTAACCACTAGACCCCCCAAAGCACTTTTAAACACAAGTTAAATGTCTACTTAATTTTCATCATAATAATACCTGCAAATTTTAAAGCTCAAATTATTGTCCTCAGCTTATTTTCTCTGTATCCGACTATTACTTATTCTGTACTAAGCTTTACAATGTCAACATTTTTTTTTTTTAATCATTTCACCCCAAGCAAGGTGATAATGTGCCACTAAGATGCAAGAGCTTACTGGGAATGAAAAGAATGAAAAATCTTTAGTGAGGAGAAAGATCATTAAAAAACAGGATTCAGGAAGACAGAAGATGGCGAATGGCATTGCATTCAAATTTTTGAAGATCATCAGTGACAGGGAAGCAAGAAAATGGAAGAGAGTTCCACATACAAGAAGTGTGTTTGTTTTTAAAACATTAATCTATAATAAAATACTTTTTCCTCTGCAAAAGTCATTTGATAAAAGTTTTTTTTTAACATGATTAGAATGAAGAGCAGAGTTTTTGAAACCAGTCACTTTGAACATCTCTCTGCCAACCCCACATCTCACAATACAAACAACAAGAAGGCTTCTGACACTGAGTAAATTAAGGAAAAAGGTCTTTCCAAGTTTTTAAAGAATCAAATGAGACAAGGACTTGGATAATAGTATGAAGGTATTAGAAGTTAAATTTCAAATCACTAACAGTATATTTTCTTATGTGAGTAGGGTTTATTGAAATTTTGCCTTCATAAGGATAAAAACTTAACCCACTTTTACTTATTTTTAAATTTACCAATTATTAAAACTTGTCAAAATATTACAATTTCTTTACACTTAGATATTTATTGATCTCTTGAAAGATTTCTTAGTGCTACAAAGTATGCTAAACATTTTAGGACTTCTTGATCTAGACAAATTTTCTTCTTATCACTGAAAGTGTATTTTGAATAAGAATTTTGGGGGGATTTTTTTGCATTAAGGTTCACCTTGTACAAGGACAAGGGACTACTCAAAGTAGAGGGTTTATTGTTAATGCATAGTTTATATGGATAGGAGGGGAAAATAACAGTTAACTCTAGACTTGAATAGACCAAGATTGTAGTGATTGGGGAAACATCCTCTTGGGACTCTGTTCCACAGGGCATTGGTTCACGGCAAGAAGCTATATGAGGATAGGTTACTTCTCGCTGATGGAATACAGAGGGAATGTGGCTGGTTTGTTACTATGTAAATGGCATGACTGGTCCTAGCCATGAAAGTTAGACCTAGTGTAACTGAGGAATGTAGTCCATGCAAGCATTTTCCATGAAAGTAATGAGAGCAGCGAGAGACTTGCTACATCCCACCTGTGAGAGAGAGGTTGGAGGGTAAAAAATAATTCTTCTCCAACAAGGACTCAAAGATGCTTTTGAAGTCTATCAAGATTGGAAAGTGAAAACTGGGCAGTTCCTGCCCAAATATAGCAATGGTACTCCATTTTCGGCCTGATCTGACTCAGTCATTTTACCTGCATCTTGAGTGATGGATCATATAAATGAGTTCCACTTGAAGTCAGGTGTGAGTCTGAGGCCTAATATTCTCTCAAGGCATGGTGCCTCCTCAAGGCAAACAATAATTGAATAATTGCAGTAAAATGTTAAAATCTTTAACATTACTGACATAAATAATATGTTTATAAAATTGGTTAATTTGTTGTTAACAAATATGTTGGTATTGCTATGTCAATTTGGGTAGGTCAGTTAAATCAATGAAAATCCACCATATGTGCGATAACACCAAAGAAAAAAAATTGAAATATAGATCATGGAAAGAAAATCAAATACTTACAAAGACAATAAAAATTTTATTATACTGTATATGTTAATGTAACCAGAAATAGAAATTTTATGCAAATTTTAATCATTTTTCTCCAACTATTTTTCTTTTTTTGTTCACAATTCCTTGAATTCCTGATTCCGCAAGTCCTTGAAATAAAGAAAGGAATTCAATGTTTCATGGGAATTTTGTCAAACTGGCCTTACATTTGATTTTCAAATTTAAAAAAAAAATGCCATCAGTTGACCAAAGTACAAAGTTGATTTTAAATTTAATAAATTTTATTTTAGATAAGGGAAAATAAAATGTAAAAACCCAGAGATGAGAGCAAGAAGACTTTTGGTTTATCATGATACTTGCCTCAAGTTGCGAGATTAGATTACTTTTGAAAAATCAGGGTAACTAAATTTTTTTTAATTTCATTACTTGTGACTTTTGTGGTTACTGTTACCCCACCCAAGCTATGGGTTGAATAGCAAGACAGACCAAGTCATATAGCTTTGGTTTGCAAACAATCTACCATAGAAAGAAACAGCAACCTATTGCAGGAAAATTTTCTGCCTAGTCAGTCATGAATTGAAAGAGACATGATCACTCAACTTAACTGACTGAATTGAAAAAAGTCAATTCAAAATGTAGTAACACTTGGCTTTTAAATATAGCTCAACTGACTACTTGCTGTAGCACAAACTGGCAATCTTGATTTTCTCATAACTGAAGGACACATTCTTTGATATTGTTACATTCATCAGCAGTGACATGTAAATGAAATCTGTTATGATTCACAAAAGGAATCAACACCAAAATCGACATTGGTCACTCTGGCGCAAGAAAATAGGACATATTTACGTGACCAGAGATAATTGCATAACATGAAAGCTTAAAAAGAAGCGTGTCAAGTTTTAAAATATCAAATGATATTTTAAATTTTATAGTACACTGGGATAAGGGACTGTTATCCAAACACCTTATGATAAATAGACAATAATATTAAACTGGAGCAGGACCAATGAAAATTACACAAATTTACTAATAAATGCTGTACTTTTCAGCCCATGACCATTCCCAGACTGTTATAAAATAAATGACAGTCTCCTTTACAATACTGAAATGTGGTATGATACACAGCTTCATTAACAATCTGAAATCATTTTTCCAAAAAATGGAATGTAATAAATATAAATTATATACATTCTCCACACATGAAAGGTAATATTAGTATTACTTATATTAATTTTTCTCAATTGAGGCATGGGTCATGTGTAACCTATATATATGTGGGAGTGTGTGTGTGTGTGTGTGTGTGTGTGTGTGTGTATATATATATATATATATATATATAGTTTATGCAAACTTAGGTAATCCGTATGGGTAGACCCGAGGAGGATGATATCCAGAGAGCTCAATGTAAAATTCAGAGCAGATATGTTTGAATAAAAAACAGACCACGTTTAACGTCGTCTGTTTTTTATTCATATATATATATATATATATATATATATATATATATATGAAGAAATATAGTTTTAAGGTGTGGTATATTCATAGATAAAGTGCTCAGTATCAGAGATAGTAAATGTAAATTTTATATTTATGAAACAGCCTGTCACCTCTGAGTGTTGACTTCAATGTTCAATTATATATATGTGTGTGTGTGTGTGTGCATGTTTCATTAAAAACGGCAGACAAGGTAGTACAGATAAAGCTTTTTATTTAATTTTTCTTGTGTTCAAACAAGAGCTTTCTTTTTTGGACACAGAGTGTGTAGAAACTGTCCAAATGTTCTATAATTCTGAGCACTTTCAGCTATAATAAAGGATGATTTTATTTTTTCAATTTAACTGGGTGCATGGGTTGTGTGTATGCTTTTAGTGTTATAAGAGATGTTTTATTTTACAAAACACAGAACATTGTGGCTGTGTTCGTAGTTAATATTATTAAGTGTTGGCTGCTCCTTTTTTATTATTAAGGCTTTTTTTACATATGGATGAGGTTATTATGTTTGTATTTTCTACTACTATGTTTCAGATGGAGTCTGGTAAGTTTGTGTGTGTGTTTAAATGGGTTCTAATAGAGCTGTGGTCAGATAGGTGTAACTAAGGATTTTTTTTTTTTTTTTTTTAAGTATTTCACCGCAAGCAAGGTGGGAGTGCCACTAGCATGCAAGTGGTTACAGAGAGTGGGAGCAAGAGTAAAGAGGCGTGATAGAGGAAAGGATGAAAAGAAGGAAGGGAGATAGATCAAGGCATCTGGAGATGTTGATTGACATTGCATTTGAATATTTGGAGAAGCAAGTAAGAGGAAGGGAACGCCACAGAGGGGAAGTTTGAGGCATGAAGCTGTTGGAGTAGTAGAGACAGCTACATTTAACAGTTTTGACAATGAAAGGGTGGGACTGAGATGCAAACCTAGTAGCACATTTAAATTCATGCAGTTTAGGAATGAAAGTAGCTCGTCGAAGCAGTTATCATGAAAGTATTTGTAGAAAAGACAGAGGGAAGTGACAACATGTCTGTGAGAGAGTGACTGTAAACAAGATGCCAGATCAGGGCCAGTAACATTGCATATCTGTCTCTGAATTTTGTCAAGGACCTTAAGACCAAAAATGGGGGCTCCAGACCATATATGCCAGCAATATTCCATACAAGGGTGAATGGTTGATTTACAGATTTGAAGGATGGATTCAGGTGAGAAAAATTTTCTAGTACTGCACAAAGAACCAACTTTCCTTGCAGTAGATGAAGCTAGTGATTCAATGTATTTGTTCCATCTCAGGTCAGCGGACAGTGTGAGACCAAGAAGTTGCAGACAGGTGCTCTCATGGAGTTGAGCATCAGACATTCTAATGGGAGACAGGGAAGGTTGAGTAAAAAAAAGCAGTTTTGTTTTAGAGGCATTAAAGTTAACCAGCCATTTCTTGCCCCAATCAACCACAGATTGGAAGTCCTTTTCGAGACCAACAGCCAGATTAGTTTTGTCAGTGATGCCGGATTTGTTATTGTGGCAGGAGTAAATAGTAGTGTCATCTGCATAGATACCTACTTGGTAACTGATGACATCAGGAATATTGTTAATGAAGATCAGAAACAGTGTAGGGCCCAGGATAGAGCCTTGTGGAACACCTGTGTTCATGAGACAGGAACTGGAGTAGAATCTGTTAAGGACAACCTTAATTGCACAGTTTGACAGGAGTTATTGTATTAAGTCAACTAATCGTCCTGAAATTCTGTATCCCTGAAGCTTACAAAGAAGGCCAGCATGCCAAACCCTATCAAATGCTTTAGAGATATCTAGAGCCATGGCACGAGTTTCTCTATTATTGTGAAGTGCTTGATAAACAAATTCAGTTATAGCCATGAACACATCAGCAGTAGATCAGGCAAAGCAGAAACTATATTGCTTGTCAGAGAGGAGATCATGGGATGTAAGGTGCTTAACCACTTCAGTGTTGATTAAAGCTTCAAAAACTTTGCCAAAGAATGGTAGGAGACTGATAGGATGGTAGTTAGATGGGTCAGAAGGGTCTCCAGAATGCTTAAAGACAGGTACAACAGATGAGGACTTCCAACAGTCTGGAAAGCAAGAGTCATTGAGGCAGTAATTATATAGTTTGGAGAAGACAGGAGCCAGTTCAGGTGCACATTTCTTCAGGACAACGGCTGGTATCCTGTCCTCTCTGCTAACCTTATGGAAGTCTAATTTAGAAACAATGCTCAATACCATCAATGGGATTATATGCAACTTGCTCTATAGAGTCTCAGTTCTAGGGGAAAACTGGGTGTGGGTACACTGATGTTTGGATAGGTATGTAGTCATGTGACCGATTAAATTACTTATGAATTTGGTTTGATCAGGAACACAGTTCCTTAAGGGTCATTTGAACTCATAGATAATGTTCGTTCATTGTAATTTTGACTTTGCTAGTGTGCTGTTATTTCTGAGGATAAGGTTGGCCATTTTAAATTTTAATTAATTTGAATTTTTTTATTTGAGTCAATTGGGGTAATGTATTTCTTTATAATATTTTTGTGAAGATTCATCTTATTTGTAGTTATTGTGCAATTGGTTTTTGTAGAAAATATTTATGTTATTTTTTACTAAGTTCACTATTGCTATTATTTACTTTGGGGGAAATAGTCTAATTGTGGTCTATAAGATGGTTAGGGAAGCCATTGTTAATTAGTGTCTGTTTTACATTATTGAGTTCTTTAAGGAAGAGTAGTCAAGAGGATGAATTCTGGTGTGTTCATCCTCTCAACTACCCTCCCTTTTATATATATATATATATATATATATATATATATATATATATATATGCATGTGTGTGCGTGCGCTCATGTGTTAGAACATTCGCATTCTGACTATGATACACATGTTCGAATCTCACCAGGGTTGATTTGTCATCATGGGCTTCAGCGTACTGGCCTTGTTCAAATTGTTTAATCACACTAGATAACACACTCTTTCCCAGAAACTGTATCCAAGGTCTGCTCAGCATAGTTGCACTATAAACCAAAGGTGAGCTCTGTGGGTGTTGAATTAACACAAATGTTCCTGAGCAAGCACCGACAATAGGGATTGGATACCTGCCCTAGTAGACAAGTATCTTCCAATAAGAGTGGCCAGCTATACTATATATGTGATTGTGTGTGTGTGTGTGTGTATATATATATATATATATATTGTGCGTGTGCATGTGTGTGTGCACACATTAGAGAGAGAGAGATAACAATAAAAATTATGTTTTGCAATGCATTTAGTTTTATTCCAAAAATTGTTGCATTATTAATGTTCTTATAAAGATTTTAACAATTTACAATGATTTTTAGAATATGAGGGAGTCCAAAGAAATATAATAATTTATATCAGTTTATAGATGATAGAAAATTGAAATGCAATCAAGTTGCTCACCAATAAATATATTCTTATGTTGGCCCATAATGCATACATATATACACATGCTTAGGTCACATGAGGATATAAGCAAAAGAATGAAATTCCTAATAGGTTCATAAATATTTAAAGAGAAACAATCGTAAAAGTTACAACATCAATAGTGCACTCTGCTAGTAGGATACAGAGTTAAACTCAGGTCCTGCACCCATGGCTATGGCAGACTGCATACATAGAACTAATGTGGAATTAAAATGGAATAGCCCATTATTTATGAAGGTATTGGCAGAGCATAACATACATGCTAACAAAGGAACTAATCAAAAAGTAAAATAATGTGAAATCTATCAGTAAGAGTGATGGACATTTTTAAATCTGTAAAATTAGAAAACAACATTTAAAAAGTATTTGATTCATTCCTCTATTTAATGGACTTATTTGACAACCAATTTCAGATTAGCAAAATTATAATCAAAGGCAAGAGAAATGATCACATCTTTTTTATATTCAAAATGAAGCCTGTCTGCACAGTTTATGTATTTGTGCATGTATATAGCAATGCCAAATTTAAAACTGTTCTCAAATAGTCAACTAATAGTAATTTATTGAGTTGCTCAATACAAAATGGTCTTGTAGTTATTATCTTAATAATGAAAAACCAACCTGGGTGTTGTTTCCCTTCAAATGCCAAGTGTGCCTTCAAAGCTATAAACAGCAGGTTATTCAGTGAAATTCTAAAGAAAACTGTCCAACAAGTAAATAAACTGACCAAACTGCTCAATACAACCTTATATTAATTTAGAATTAGACAAGTGTTTAGTTAAGTGTTTAGCTAAGCAGAAGAAGACAATTATTTTCTGATAAATTGATTTCTTTTTCAGTGGATGTGCAGAGGAAGGTAATGGGTATCAGCTCGGATAAGAAATTGAAGAGTCAAGTTTGAATTCAAGTCAAGTTCGTTGCATTCACTTATGTGCAAATACCCTTTATCTCTTCTCCCACAGCTATGGGTTGAATAGCAGGACAGATAGAGTTCTGTAACCTTGGTTGGCAATCACAGAAAGAAATGGCAACCTACTGCAAGAAAATCTTCTGTCTGGTCAGTCATGAATCAAAAGAGACATGATTGCTCAAGCATGTATCATGTATTGCAACTGATTCAATGCATCCAGCTATACAAGTAAATTTCTAAAGATAAATTAGCAGCTACCAAATCTGATTTTAGACTATTCTTAACATAAAGGTTGTTTTTATATGATTTTTTAAATAGTAATCACAGTCTTTAGAAGTGAACTAGTAAACATATCATACCCAAAGATATTACAGAATTTACAGAACCATTTTGAGCTTAAAATTCTTAAACAACAAATTTATATCCAATTACAAATTTAATATAGAAGTTATTTTTTTTTTTAATTAGTTTACTCTTAAGCTTTTGCAGAACTATTTTCATGAACATTTAACAACATTTTTTTAAGAACATTTATATATTTAAAAAGCAAAAACAAAGATAGTGTTTTTTGTTATCAAAATATACAGAATGTTTCATAATACAATTTTTCATAACAAACTTTAAAACATTTCAAATTTCTATGCTGTTTAATATTATGTGATTAAACTTCCAAACACTGTTAAATAGCTTCACAAATTTGCACACAACTTTCTTCTTAAGAGGAATTTCAGTTTTAATTTGTTTTATCATCAGTTTTTGATCAAGCAGCATAAAGAAATATATAAATATAAAATATGATAAAGTCTGATATTTTTCTCTGATGTTTTCAATCTTTAAAAAAAATATCTGGAATGGACTTTTAGAGTCTCATTCAGAAAGCCTCTATGATTTCTTATAAGTAAAATGTTGAACAAATTTTTTTTTACAGTATCAATATATATCAGGTAGCAGTAAATAACTTTGTGTTTAATCAAATGTCTATAATTTAAAAAAGAAAAAGAATTCTGTAACTTAAACAGATATTACATGTTACTCAACTGTAAGATGAAATTGTACAAAGCAGAGACATTCAAATTCGATTTTGAAAATATTTGGTTGTCAAACAAAGAATGGAAAAATTATTATGCTTCAAAACATTTTTTCCCATCATCTGAGCAAAATGATCATAGCAAATCTCACCAAGCCAACACCAATAGTGGTAGCAAAGACCTAGTAGAATATAGTACTATGTACTACCAATGAACTATAAGGAAGAAAATAAAATATGTTTGACCTTTCCGAGGTTGCATGTCATCACAAAGGTGCAAGTCGATACGACTGGTGATGAGATGGTAAGATGTGGATAAAACATCAAATTTGGTAAACACCCGAGACACTTTGGATGTCGGTATTGCCTTGTTTTGTTTCATCTGTTGTAGTCTTTTCAGTTGATCCGATACAATGTGACCTTGTTTCTACAGGGAAAACAAAATATAGCAAAATTTCAAATAATTTCAAATTGACAAAAAACATAATTTAAAATAACTTGCAATAATAAATATACTTAAAGCTTTTTCTAATTCTCATATTCAAAACATCCTGGCAGAGCAACAGAAAACTTTATCAGTGAGATTTATTCCTGGTGTCATTGGTGAGTATCAAGCCTCTAAAAATAGCGGGTCAACCCCCACCTCCCTCAGCTCCCTGGCATCTGAAATGAAGCTAGAATTCTTTGGCAGAGCTATTTATAGGCTTAATTTTTGGAGGATTTTCAGCCAATGAAAATTCAGTCTTTGTTTGCCTATTAAACATTGAGGACTTTTTCCTCATCATTTTTTCAGGGTTAAGTCAGTCAGTCTTTCTAATTTTACAGAGAAATGAAATGGGAAGAAGATATTTTGGAAAGATAAACATAGTAATTATTTATTAGTCTTAGAAGTACTTTTTAAGCCAAAAATTTTATCTTCTATGAGAATTATGTCATATGTGTGAAATATTTCTCTTGTCTTCTCTCGTCTTGTAACGGCATTCACCTGGGATGGGTTGAGCCGGCTCCAATTGAATTAACCGCATCACGTGTCAAGGCCATCCACCCCCGTCGATCGACAGCAGAATCGACGGCATGATCGAGCCATTCGCTGACCACCTCAGCGCTTCCTCCAACCAGTGTGTGCATTTGGCGCCACCAGTTTACGGACGAACTCATCACCAGCAGGCCGCCACAGCATGTGGCCGAACCACTGGAGTCTCCTGTTAAGCAGAGTTTCTTCCAGGCCTAGAATGTTGCATCTGGCGCAGATGGACAAGTTAGGGATCCGGTCGGAGAGGCGCTGCACAGGATACGGCGGAGGCAGTAGTGATCGAAGACCTTAAGCTTATGAAGACGATCCACGAAGTTGCGAATCTACAAAGCCATGGTCAGAACAATTCTTCTCTATGGTTGTGAGACCTGGCCACTGCGCAGAGAATATTTCTCTTGGCAAATAAGTTATTTTTTTCTTTTTCTTAAAGATTAACCCAGAAAGATTAGTATAAAAGATTCTTCTTTAAATGAAATGTTCATTCATTTATTGTGTAACATAATAATGCAAGAAGAAATAGATAAAACTTTACAACTGAGAAAATATGGTTTACAATGATGTTCATCCTGTACAAGGCCCAAGGGCCACTTGAGGTAGGGGGTTAGAAGTGTAGTGAATATGAAATAACACCCTTTACCCACTCCCTTCAAATTCAGGTGAGCTCAGGAAAAAAACGGAAAAAATTTGAAAACCTGTGAAATTTACTTTTGATCAATGAAAACCTTGCCATCACAGAAAGAACAAAAGAAAGTTGCAAGCCTATTCAAAATGACTTTTGATATAAAATGAGGAGAAAAATTAAATTAATGAGAGAAAAGTGTCTGAAGTCAGGTGAAAGTTTTCACCGGTGCCAATTATATTATCGGCTTTTAACCAAGTATGCAACACTTCAAAGAATTTTACTTCAAAAATCCAAGAAATCTATTTCAAACTCTCTTCATCTACTTTTGAATGTATGCAACCATTTATCTCTTCTATGAGCAATGAACTCTCTTAACTTTGAAACGTTTTTGAATATTATCTTGTCAGATCATTTGTTTTATGAACATTTCCTCTTCATGATAATTCCTTAAAACTACAGTTTATAAAAATTTCTGATTTATTTTCCTGAAAAGGGCTACTGACACAACTTCAAGCATGTAAATTCATAAATAAATTCCTTATCTTGTTTTGTCAAAAATTACCCATGTGTTTACTCATCATTACCATCCTCCATCTTCTTGGCATGGGTTCATTTAACCCTGTTGCCCCATGCCACTATAGAGGCACCACCCAAAGCAAGGTGATAATGCCACCAAGACCCAAAAAGCCACTAGAAGTGAAAGAGTAGGAAAAGACTTTAGAGGGAGCCAAAAAAAACAATTCTAAACAGGAAACAAAGGATAAACCTCTACTGTTCAAAAAATAGGGGAGGGTATGAACCAGACAATAGGTGAACCTATCTACTTCTATTGCAATTTCTTATCTGAATTTCTGGGACAATATGTTACTATTATATATTGATTTAAATGAATTAGTTTCATTGTCTTAGTTATTTTTAGCATATTTCAGAAGGTACCACACCCAAAATGATGCAACAAAAATCACAAAAATGAGGAAACAGATTCAAAATTAACAAAATATAATGGACCTGTTTTTTGTTTTTATATATTTCAAATTACAAAACACTTTTGCTTTAAAAACTTTCAACAATACTTATAATCTTTTCAAAGGAAAAATGTCAAATATTTATGAAATACTAAACAAAAAGAACTTTATTAAAAAAATGTGCTAGAACAAGTATTTCAGTCTATTTCAGTTTTTACAATTCACCAGAAACTATAAGAAAATTTCCTGAGAATATGTCATCATTTCCTGGGATTCCTTATTTAAGGAATGTCCATTCAATTTTACTTTGTTTTTAGACAGTTTCCTCAGGCAGCAATATGTTTCTGAGTGTTCATACATTAACTGAAATTATCACCCATGCCAGGTTGTATAGCTAGAACTCCAGTTCAGCCATTGTTAGAATTGAAATACACAAATCTTTAACTTAGCCAACTACTGTCTTGATGTGCTATCCAAGAAAGCCTTAATTCAACATAACTTTGATTTCAATGATACAACCTGTGGATAGATGCTTTATATGTTGAATGTGCTAGCTGGAACAAAGTTTGCTCTTGTTAAGTTTCTTTTTTAAAGTTGTCCTGCTATTTCCTGCTCTAAAATGACTACAATGAATTGCAATGTATATATCTATACATTCTTCATATAGCAATTGTCATATTTTTTATAACTGAATATAGCTAAGGATAATCTAGCAAGGCTAAAGGGTTATATTTATCCTATGTTAAAAGGACATATCTGAAAGAAAATATCTTTCCAGGGATACTGGCTAAGAAAAAAAACTTTTGGCTATTAGTCTGTTGCTCAACCATTAGCAGAGTAACATTTCACATTAAAAAAAAACAAATAACAACAAAAACATCCAAGAGGAATAAACAAGTCTGTTGATATACAACTATATAGAGATTATTTCCCAAATACATTTTTATATCTCTAATTACAAATTTTTTTTAAAGATTTCAATATGTACTCAATCTTTCCAAGTGGAAATAAGATATTTAAAGAAAAATACAAGAAAAAAATTATATATATAAGATTTGAATAATAAAAAAAAGATCTGCAAAAACATTTATTAACATTTTCAGCAGTTAGTTGTCACATTACATAAAAAAACTTTTCTTTTTAATCAGGAAAATGTGTTAGGCTACACAATCTGATTGTTAGAAGTTAGAGAGAAGAGAATTTAGATGTTTAGTTTCTTATGGATATTCAAACTTGCTTTGAGTTCCTTAATTAATCTGCTTTCTGTGCAGTGGCTAGAAAATTTATTAATGCTGATGAAGCTTTTCAAAATGTTACTGGATAATTGTGAGATGTATTAAAAATATCCATATCCACATATATAAAGCACAAGGTGTGTATGCATTACTGTGGACATAGGAGTCAACACTGCATGGATTGAAGATCTCATTGAATTGTGAAACTAACAATGACTATGCAATGATTCCAATGCTCACACTGTCTATATCTCTAAAACCATTATCTCTAATACTGAAGACTCTACCCTTATAAATATAGCAAATTTTAACATTTTATGCTGATGTGTTTTGTTCTTTGAAATGTATGAATTAAATGATTAAATCTTGATATCAAGAGAAATGTAGAATTTTTATGGAGAAAAAACTATTTTTTCTCAATAAAATTTCTACAATTGCCTTGATAGAGTTCCTCAAGGAACAAAACATTGACATAAAAGGATTTCCTCTTGTCATTTCTTTTACTGATATTGTCTTTGCATAAAGATTTATTTATATCTGAAATCCCTGATGAGTGTACACCTGGAGGGTCCATCTACAAAACTCTGGAGTCAGGAAGCTAAAGGTAACATCAATCAGCTGTCACAGACTTTTTTACTTGTATTAATTATATATATATATATATATATATATATATATATATATATATATATATACACACACACATACATACATACATACACATGTTGGCTGGGGCATCAGAATACACTGATTGCACCTCTGCAGAGGGGTAAAACCCTGCCAATGAGGCCACCTGTTTGCTATGAGTGGTGACCTGTGATGTCTGGGGATGGTGAGGGTTTCAGCAGTGAGTGTTAGATACTTCCAATTTCCAACACCACCACTTTGGCCTTTACTTGGACTAGACGGGCAGTCGGACAGATCTGATCATGTCTGGTCATGTTATGCACATGTGGCAAACGTCCAAACCTTTTAATATTATATGTGCTAGAAGGCTGAGGGTCAATTGCATTAAGAGAATAGGACTTTGACCTTAAATTGTACAGCATATTAAACCTGAAATTGGCAGAGGCTCTAAGTTTACTCCTGACTCAAATATATTGGTAGTGTATCCCCATCTCAACCAAGGTAAATAGGTTTCTCCCTTGGTAAATTCCCAACACAAGTTGGACTTGATGGGGGTGGCAGACCACAGGACCAGTGAAAAACAAACACTAATTATGGTTTCTTTAAAAAAAAAAAAAAAATGAAAAAAATGTAATCTATCCAAATCAGACAGAAGAGAACAAGTTTGTAAAATATGTAATGATAGAATCACTCAAAGATGTATCTCCCAGCAAGGTGTCACCTTTTCTCATTGAAAGGGTAATAACAAGCAGATCAAACCAAAAATCAGTTAAAAAAACTCAAAAATGGAAACATTTTAGTAGAAGTAAACAAGGAACAACAGGCAGAAAACCTACTAAAAATGGAAAAGTTTCACAATTAGAAATGTAAAGCTTATTCATATGAATGATTGAATACATGTAACGGTATAATAGGAAGTCGAGAACTGAATTTGGCAACAGAAGAGAAGATCAAAAGTGGCACTATATATAAGCAGAGCATTACTGAACACAAGAGAATTGGCATGAGGAGGAACAGCAAAACTTAACAGACACATATATACTGACATTTTAATTCACTCACAATTCCCAAAGATATCAAAATGGGTTTCACTATTGAAAAAGAAATCTACATACAAGCTCCCTTACAGTGCTCCAACTGCTAGAAATTTGGGTACCACAAGGACATATGCAAAAGACAACAAGTGTGTGGCAGATGTGGAGAAAAGGGCCCAATCCCATGTTGAAGACAATTGTCAGAATGAAAAAAGATGTGCAAACTACCATGGGGACAAACTTTCCATTTTTGAAAATATGTGATGCGTACAGGAGGAGAAAGGAAATACTGCAGGTAAAACATACAAAAAAAAAAAAAAAAAATGTATCATTACTGTCAGTAAGAAAAATTGTTGAATTCTAGATTAAACAAACATATCCCAGTGCAGTAAAAGAGATTAATTAGACCAGCCAAGTAGGAACTAAACAAGAAAGTAGATGTCTTGAGATAGTTGAGCAAATGTTGCAATTGAGTACTGACAAGTGGCCAAACTACCATAGATGTGTGCGTGTGTGTGTATATATGTGTATACACACACACATATATATATATATATATATATATATATATATATATATATATAATATATCTGAACATAAAGGTTGGTATAGATGGAATAATATTCCAGTAACCAAAAACATATTTTTAAAAAAGTGCTCAATACAAAATAGAGTGAATAATATTTATTTAAAAATTATAACATAAGTATGTTATAACATTACTACAAAAATAGCCATTTCGTTTCAACAATTCTCATGCTTTGTGAAGTGATGGTGTTGATTGTAAAATAAAAAGTTTTTAAAGAGTTTAAAACCAAACACTACTCCCCACTAAGGTGAATATTTTTATGTAAGATGTAATGGCCAGCCAAATCACAAGTATATGATAATTCAAATAACTTAGCAACAGACCCTAGATATATTTATTAATGCTTTAAAATGAGTATTAGATTTTATAGGAAACCAGAACAGCTAATTAATCTCCAATCTATTATATAATTAAAAAATAAAACTTATGAATATTAAACTTTAAATATAACCATGTATCAAAAAAAAAAAAAATATATATATATATATATATATATATATATATATATATATATATATATATATACACACACTTTACAATTGAATTAAGATACCTTTAGTAAATGACCTTTTCACCTACAAATTTTAATTTTAAAATTCACAGGATTTTTCAAACTGTTTATGGTATCAGTTTGTAGTGATAAACTAATACCATAAACAGTTTGAAAAATTCTGTAAATTTTAAAATCTGATTGGTTGTTTTTCAAATAACCAGAGTAATTAAAAAAGGAGCAAATTTATTGAAACAAAATTAAAATTCGTAGGTGAAAATGGTCATTTACTAAAGGTATCTTAATTCCAATTGTAAAAAAATTTGCTCTGTTTAATGAAAATAAACATTGAGTGCTCTTTTGTGAGTCAGTTAACATATTTCAAATTCTATGTCGTGTTGATTCGTCTAGATTATACCAACGGAATACTTATTTATATATATATATATATATATATATATATATATATATATATATATATATATTTTATGTTTTATACATTCTTTTATAGATACAAATATTTAAGTAAACACTCTGTTTATAATAAACAGTATTAAACAACATTTATTGGCCTGAATGTCCGAGAAATTTTCACAGAAAATATTCGTCCTCCGACAGGATTCAAACCTGTATCTTATACGGAACCGTCATTATTAGTCATAAAATGTCTTAAAATAATTGTCGGACTTTGTCCATTTCATAATGTATGACGTCATTTGTTTACATTTGATACGCCATGAGCAGATATGAATGTACGTGTGAGATTCATGGAAGATTGAAGTTTAAATACAGTAAATTCGACCTTGCTAACCGAGCAACGCCTCTGTGGCCAAATCAGTAAAGGCACGTCAAGTTATAATGCTCCATAAGTTTTCTATGGGGTTGAGGTCAGGAGATTGGAGCAGCCATGTCATAACACTCACCTGCTTCTCATCAAAGTATTCCTTCATCAATTTTGATTTGTAACAGGGAACATTATCCTGCATAAAAATGAGCTTGGTGTGGTCGATTTGCACCCTTTCAGCAGAAGGGAGCAGAAAAGACTCTAAAATTCTCTTGTACTGCTCGCTCCTGAGGGTCTTTTCAATAGGTTTCAAGAAAACAGTTCCATGAAAAGAAAAGCATCCCCAGAACATTATACTGAATGGATGCTTGACAGTACTTACTGTTAAATTCAAAGAGCTTTCAAAGCTTCTTCTTCAGATTTTAGATCGCTTATCCTTTGAATTTAGCTCAACTTTCGTTTCATCGGAGAAGAGAATATTTAATAAAAAAAATCAGGTGAGTCACTTTTATCAAACAGCACTGTATATGAGAAGAAGTGTTAATATAATCAGATTATATATTGGGTTGGGATAAAAGTTCATAGCATAAAAAAAAAAAAAAACAGTGAATTTCAAAGACAGATTTATTTAATCACATATTTGCCATTTTATTAGACTATCTTTCACCATCTTTGAGGCAGCTTCATGATTTCATCCTCCTTTTACAGGCTTCTATTGAATTGAAGTTCTTCTCATTAGGAAAATTTTGTAGTAAAGTGAAGGAAAAGTCAGTTGAATATGTCATGAGTTGTAGGACATCCCAGACAAGCTGTATCAATTTCTGCCAGGATTGCAAAGAGGTTTGGTATTGTCCTGATAGAAGATGACATCCTTTCAAGTGACTAATTCCAGACATTGATACTTTTAATCAATCCAAATGGAAGCATTACATAATACACAGTGCCCTCCCAATCCCAGCAGATATACAGCATCACTATCTTCATATGCAGATCGTCTTTTGTGGCTCATTTCATTTTTTCCTAGGCCTTTTTTTATTCCATATTGTTGTAAACAATCCACTTTTCTTCACCAGTTCTTTTTAAAAAGTAGGTTGTTTTTGCTGTTATTTACATTATTTATATTCAGATTATTGTCTTCATCTTCGTTTTTTGGTTGTTGTTTAATTTATTTAATCCCTGGTGGGTAGACTGTCCTTGTTCCATTGCTCATGTCTAGAGATATCATCTAGTTCTTATTTTATTTAGTACCATTCAGTTACTTCTCATTAGTTTTAGATTGTAAGATATTTTTTGAGATAATAATGATTTAGTGATGCAAGTCATACTAATTATCACATAGCTGGGGGAGAAAAGGTGGATTCATACCTTTCCCAAGAGTATTTGGGCATAAGTGAAAATAACAAACCCAATGGGAATTGGAACTCAGCCCTGATTAGCAATTTCAAGCCATTATCCATTACACCACCTGCACATCTAAGCTTGCAGCACCTGGTATTCCCAAGTAGTCATCCATCTTGGCTCAACATGGCTTAACTTCCATGATCATACAAGAACCAGCGTTTCAACATGACGTGGCCTTATGAAAACAATAAAAGAACAGAATTCATGGCAACAGAAGATGACCATCAACATTGCATTTAAAGATTGTATTTGACAGGAAAGCAGGAAGTTGGAAAAGAGTTTCATAAATGAGAAGTGCAAGAAAAACTATCAGTATAGAAATTATAGAAAGCAATGTCAGCAATGAAATTATGAGACCTAGCTTCCAATCTAGTACTGCGCTTAAATTTGTGAAGTAGAAAGTTAAGGTACTAACAAAAAAAGATCATGAAAACAATCACTGTGAAAATATTTATAGAAAGGCACAGGATAGCCATATTACAGTGATGAAAATGTGACTGAAGCTAAGATGCAAGGTCAGGACCAATAATGTTGCAGATTGTTTAGATTTCATCAAGAATCTCTAGATATAAGAGAGAAGCACCAGACTTGATGTGATAGTAATATTCAATGCACAGATGAATGGTAGATTTATAAATGCAAATATATTCTGGTAAGAAAAATTGTTTACCATGACATAATGAACCAACTTTCCTAGCAGCAGACTTAGCAATTAATTCAATATAATCATTCCACTTCATGTCAGTGGAAAATGTTAGAATAACAAAGCACAGTGAGTTGCTCACTTGAAGGTTATTATCAGCCATGCTGATGGAAGGCATAAGTGTCACTTCTTGTCCCAGATTCAACAGATTCAAGTCATTTTTGAGATCAGCTGCCAATTTGAGTGTTTAAAATTTTAAATGGGGAGGGATATTATAAATTTTGATTTGGGGAAGAAAAACATTCAAATTTATTTAGCAAACTAAAACCAAATATTAAAAATCATTTAGATTAAGGAAATATTATTATTATTATCATCATAATGAAAGACTTTAAAAATTTCTTTTAATTTTGAAATAATTAATTTTATACAGCCAAAGCAATGTACTTTGAGCAACTCAGCAGGATTAAATGAACATTCCAAGCCATCACTTATTAAAAAAGTCATTCAAGATGAAGCCAACCGTGCTAGATAATCAATGAAATATACCTCATATAAAATTCAAAGAAATTCTGAACCATTTCTGAAATGTGAACCAACCTTTAACTTCTCTGCTGCAAGTTGTTTGCTCTGATGTGTGGATTTCTCGATGACTTCCTGCAGAGACGTGGCATAGAGCAAGGCAGCTTTCAGTTGTGTCTCTGTAAGCACCCACAGGAGATCATCTAGCAACAAGATGACACGTGATGACACAATGCTGCAATCTGCAAAGGTGAAAGATAATATCAACTTCAATACAAGAAGAACAATTAAAAAACATTCCCTAAAGAATTATGCATGGGTCATTTGGGAGAGGAAAAATCCTAATTTGATAATTTAAGTCATGTTTTTTTATCCTCATATAAAAGTGCCTTTTCTTTTTTAAATATTAAGAATTAAAAAAAAAAAAAGATGATTCTTAAACTAACATAAATTTAAGATAACTTTCTAGTTAAAAAAAAACTAGTTTCTAGTTTAAAAAAAAACAAAACAAATTTCACCCTGGAAATAATTAGAAAATTACAAGGAAGGCTTAGATACTTTTCATTCATTTTTCCAAGGCTTCAATTTTTATTAGCTTTGTTTTAATAAATGTAATATAAGATTGAAAACCTTTTCATAAAGCAGTGATAGGTAAACTAATCTTTGGGAATTCACTTGTTATTGGGTGTCTCACAGTTGCAATCTTGTACAATAAGGCAGGTTAATTTTTCACTTTTTCTTAGAAAAATCAACATTGCACTGAAAGCTGGGGTTTATGTGCTAAGTACTGACACCAAAAATTAGATTCATAGCTTTACCAATTTTTGAGCATTTTAGTTTTAAAGACTATCTGAAAAAATGTACAGAAATGCCTTCAACTTACAAAATGACTTCAAAATTTTACTATTTCAAGAATAAATCCAAATAAAATTGATATCTTTTGCATTAGATACATTGAATGCAACATATATTCAAACCAAAATTCTAATTATGAATCACCACAAGCAAAATAATCATTTTATTTTCAAAATATGCAATTTTTACTGTATTCAATAGGTAAAAAAATATAAAAAGATTACAAAAAAGGCTACTCAATAAGATTTGTTAGATCATAATTAATAAAAACAGAAAATATATAAAAGTATATATAACACCATAATACTTCTGGGCACAAAGATAAAATGTTTTACATTTGCATTGTTTATTGAATAAGCTAGGCTTACTAAATTATGAGAGGGGTACCAAAAAGTTATTGACCTGACTCACTTCTCAAATTATGGTCAAACAAAATTAGAATTTTAGTTAGAAAGATTTCTTGATTGGGCCAGGAACTTTTTGGTATCTCCTTATATTAATGAAGTAGCAACCATTAACTTAAAAATATAAGGTTCAAAGTTCATTAGAGTTCATGAAAGGGGCTAATTAAAGAAAACTATTAAAACCTGTTGTAGTGATATGCAAATTAGTATAATTTGCATACGAGCAGGTAGCTCATATGATAAATGGACAACAACTAGAACGGAAGTCGAATGCTTACTTAGCAATATACACGACATAACAATGGCGTCGCCGATAGGATACTCTTTGGTCCTTGAAGATCCAGAGTACATAGATACGTGGATTTGTTGCTTTTCTGCTAATGCAAGATGTAAAAAGTTGAAAGACAACAAAAACAGAGGAGGGGAAAATGAAATCACCGACTTTTTCATGGCTACAGCTGGTTGTGAAGCGATTATGAAGGTTGCTACAATGGTTTACCCTCGAGAACTAGAAGAAATGACTTTCAAAGAAATAAGTCAGGTTATTGAGGGAAACATGAGGCCAAAGAAAAGACTGGTGATTGCAGAAAGGACCAAGTTTATGGCAATGAAGCAGGAAGTGGATGAACCGATAGTAAAATATTTACACCGGTTAAGAAGTGCGAGTAAATACTGTGAATTTGAAAAACTAGGAACAGGAGAGCAGACAACGGAAGAAGAATTAATCCAACTAAGATTAATTGAAGGTATGCATAATTCAGCACATAGATACAAGTTAATGGAATAGTTACAACTTACAAACATGCCTTTGAATATGTGTATAGAATTTATACAACAGCAGGAATTAATACATACCTACAACCAAAATAAAAATAAATGCTACGAAGAAATAATGGCTGAAACATATATGGTACAAACAAAAAGAAAAAGTTGTGCGTACTGTGGAAAAATTCATGAAATGAAAAAAGAAAAATGCCCAGCCTTTGGAAAGACATGTTCAAAGTGTTCAAAAAAAAATCACTTCAAAGAAGTATGTAAAATGAAAAATGTGGAAAGAGTAGAGGATGAAAATAGACAGATTTTTAATGTAAAAAAGGATAATATACAAAATACTGGATCTAAGAATGGAGATACAAAAATAAAAGTGAAAATCAACGACTGTATTGTCAAATGCAAATCGACACAGGTAGTGAGGTCACGATATTACCCAGAAATTTGTGGAAAAAATGGGAAAACCGTTTTAAAAAAAACCAACGTACAATTACGTCAGTTTGATGGCTCGATTATAGCAGTTATGGGTTACTTTGAAGGTTCAATAGAACTAAAAAGAAAATATGAAATAGTACCCATTATAGTTACAAATTGCCGAAAAATGCATGGACTATTGGGGAATGACGTGTTAAAAATAAATTCAATGAAGTTGATTAATGAGATAGAAATAGAAAAAACAGGAAAATTAAAAAATTATGAAGCTAGCCTGAAATTAAAAAAAAATGTTTCCCCCTCCTACTACGAAGCGAGAAAAATACCAGTGCATTTATTACCGTTGGTAATAGATAAATTGCGAAAGCTAATAAAGGAAGACTTATTAGAACCTTCCCCTCCAGGAGGAAGTAAATGGGCATCACCCATTGTGGTATTGAAAAAAAAAGATGGTGGATTTGTGGAGATTATAAAATAGGGGTGAACCATAAAGTTTGTGCTGACTCGTACCCTATTCCAAATGTGGAAGTAGCTTTACATAAACTTGCTGGAATGAAAGTATTTTCGAAGATAGACCTAAAATCAGCTTACCACCAAATACCGATAAATGAAAATTTTAAAGAAGTGACGACCATAAACACACCTATAGGCCTGTTAAGGTGGAAAAGAATGCCGTATGGCATAAAAAACAACAAGTGCAATTTTTCAAAAAGCTATTGAAAAAGTAATAGGAAATGTTGAAAATACCATCTGTTATCAAGACGATATATGTATTGGAGATTTAAATGAAGATGATTTAAAGAAAAAAACTGAAAATATACTGAACCGGCTAAGAGACACTGGTATGACAATAAATACAAAAAAATGTGTAACCAACAGTAATGAAATATCATTTTTGGGTTACTCAATATCAAAGGAAGGGATCTCTCCAGATAAAGTACTAATAGAAAAATTCTAAAAGTTGCTACACCAAAAAATAAAAAAAGAGTTGGAGTCCTTAGGTTTGGTAAATTTTATAGAAAATATGTACCAAAATACAATGAGTTGACAGAACCATTTGCTAAGTTAAGAAAAAAAAATGTGGAATTCATTTGGTTAGAACACCAACAGAAAGCCTTTGAAAACTTAAAACAGATTCTGGCAAAAAAGCCAATAGTACAAATTTTTGACCCTAAGAAGGACATAACTCTAACTACTGACGCTAGTGAGCAGTCCATATCTGGTATTTTGTCACAAGATGGGCATCCCATAATGTACTTATCAAGGAGATTAACAACAACTGAACACAATTATTCAAATATAGAAAGGAGGCACTAGCCATAGTGTGGACAACGGATAGAACAAGACAGTTTTGATGGGAAAAAAATTCTTGTTGAAAAGTGATCACAGACCACTGGAATTTATTTTCAACCCAAGAAAAGAGCTACCGAAAGGTTACAACGTCCAGAATATTACGTTGGGCGATTAGACTGATGGCGTTCGACTTTGACATTGAATATGTTAAAGGGAATACGATACCGCATGTTGATGACTTATCTAGATTGAGGTTTTATAGAGAGGAGAAGGACAAAAACGACGAGGAAGTTGAAGACACATTCTTGCACCTTGTAGAAACCGATGTAATATCTGTAGATAAAATGGCTACTGAAACTACAAATGACCCAGTGTTAAATAGAATAATGTTGAGGATAAAACAGAATCGCTGGGGAAATTGTTCAATGGCTGAAAGACCATTCAAAGAAATTAGACATAGAATGATTATAGAAAACGGGATAATATGTAAGGGAGACTTGGTAGTTCCCCCAGAAACACAGAGGAGACAGGTTATAAAAAGTGTACACGATGACGTACATTGTGGAGTGGCAGCTACGCAAAGAAGATTAAAATTGGAAGCTTGGTGGCCGGGGTACTCATTAGACGTAGAAGACTACGTAAGAAGATGCAAAAAAATGCACAGAACTTAGGAATTTTAAGCAAAAGAAATTACATGTATGGCCCCGAGAAGTAGAACCATGGAGCAGAGTACACATGGACCATGCCTATGTCAATGGGATAGGACTATTATTAATATTAGTAGACGCATATTCAGGTTGGCCTGAAGTGGTGAGAGTACCTGATAAAAAAAGTACCACCGTAAAACAAATATTAAGAGTAATATTTTCGAGGAATGGGACACCGAGAACATTGGTGACTGATAACGCACCAGAATTTGTGGATGCTGATTTGCATGAATTTTTAAGAAAAATAGGATGCAGACCTTACAAGACCCTCCCTACCACCCTCAAAGTAATGGGATAGCGGAAAGGATGGTCCAGACGGTAAAGAAGGGCATAAAAGCATGCTTGCAACAGAAGGAGGAAGTCGATGCTTTTCTACGAAGACTACTATTAAGTTATAGAACAATTCCACATGTAGGCAGGCCGGAAAGTCCGTCTGCCTTAATGAGCAGACAATTAAGGTCCCCTTTGACTAGGTCATATGCCACAAATCAAAAGATGTGGTACAAAAGAAACAGGAATATGCAACCCGAGTCAGCCGAATTTATTATGCAGATAGGACATAATACTGCAATATTAAATAAAGAAAATGGGAACAGTATTCTAGCTCATGCTGACCAAATAAGATCCCAAGGAGAAGAATCGGATGAGGAAATGCCTTCAGAGATGCCCTTTATTGACGTAACAGAAGAGTTAATGCAGAATGAAACTGCGGAGGAAGAGGTAGAGAGGGATGAGTTAGAGGAGGAAGAAGTAGAATGGGACAAGTTAGAAGAGGAAGACCACAGTATGCAAAAGGAACAGTTCGATTATAGGGAAAGACGTGATAGATCTAGATCTCCAAGGGAAAGGAGAGAGATAAAGGAAGATGTTCAGGAGGGCACAAGAAGAAGTACAAGAAGTACTCGCGGCATAAGGCCCCTCCATTATAGGAAGATGTAGTGATATGCAAATTAGTATAATTTGCATACGAGCAGGTAGCTCATATGATAAATGGACAACAACTAGAACGGAGGTCGAATGCTTACTTAGCAATATACACGACATAACACCTGTAGAAATAAGATATTTTCCACATTATCATTTTCACCTTATTTTTCATTTTTTTTTTTTTTTATTTCTCCTTAATACTTGAAAACTTGATAAATAAGAAGCAGTTATAGTGAGGAGCTTGAGTTGAAATCTTGATGAGCTAAGAATGTTGCCAAGTTAGAGCAGATGCCTTTATATATTTGATCATTATGATTTTTTCACACACACACACACAAGACAGCAGATTAGTTCTAAATCAGGACATTGTCCAAAATATAAGCACAAGAATGAAAGAGTACAACAAAAATGAAAGAGAAGAAAAACAGAATTGACAAATAACAACAAACCATTTATGTTCTTTTTGACAGCAATCCGCAACTTAGCCTGATTCGCAATGAGTCGAATTGGAGTCTGGGTGATGACACCTTTCGCATGTGGGTCAACAGCCTGTGCCTCAATTCGGGTTGCCTGCCAGTCTACCTCTTTAAAAATAAGAACTTCGCCCCGAGAAACATCCTTGATACGAGTCAGCCGAAGATCAGTGGTTGCATGCCACGTTGGGGATACACTGTGAACTTTTACTCGGGACATCTGAGAAAAGAAAGGCAAATAAAACTTAGCAGTAACAACTGAAACTCATATTGTGTAGGGTGAATCAAAAAGAGTAATGAATATTAATCAGAAAACAGTAAAAGGATTTTAAAAAAAGAAAACTATTAATTAGTTACAAAATTGGCTTAGTCCATAAAATAGTGACTCAATTAGTTTGCTGACGGTAGAACTTCTTATTGTAAAATCATTTGCTTAAGTACCATATTTGATGGCATATAAGATACCTCTGTCCACTATTTACATTTAACATTGCAATATTATAACAATACACTAGATGCAGATATCTATCATCTCTATTGTATGGATAAATATAAGCTAACCAGACACATCAACATCACATAATAGGAAGATATTTTAACCCATTTTTTGAGGGAAAAAAGAGATTTATGTTATCAAATACAGTATATTCCCACAAAGAGAATATAAAAAAAATTGGTTAATCCGCTTAGTAAAAAAAGCTTTAATATCTCATACACCAGAAGAAATTATTACTTTATCATTTTACATGTTAATATGAACTCCTTGACATAGCTACTCATATTTAAGACCAAAATTCTTAAATTATAATGTAAGAACAATATCATCTCTCTTGTTTCGCCTTTCAGCTGATTTATTTTTGGTAAGTAAATACCAATGCTAAATAACCATTCACTTTCAACAGAAGAGAGAGAGGTGCTGATAGATATTTCCTGGCTAAAAGTGCCATGATGGAAAATTCATTTTTATTTGAATTCCACCAATGAAAAACATTATAATCACTTTTTATATTTTTTGGTGCAGTATATTTTGCCATATCAAGTTTTAATAAATATATTTCTTTGCTTGTTTCACTGACTGTTTTATCCTGTATTCTCTTACACATTGGCTCCTCTTTAACTTCATCACATTTTTTCTTTAATTCAGTGAGGAACTTCATAAAACTGAAATTAAAGTCTCTATCATTATCACTTTTCTCTTCAGATATGTCAGATGAGTGATTCTCCATGACTTGTGATACTTTAGGTGAGGTGTCTGTTTTTCCCTCGGTTATAGAATAGATATCTTGAGTGAACCATTCTGCAATAGCCTTGTCATGAGGGTCATTAGGCATGCCACTGTAGTTATTTTCAAGGAAACCGGTCTTAAACCTGGGATCAAGATATGTTGCTAGAATAAGGTTTTTGTCAAGTAGTTGCTAAATCTAGCATTAAAAGAAGCTTTCCATGATGAAAGGGTTGAGCCTAACCCATCAAATAGTCCCCTTTCTTCTCCCCTTTTAAAAAAGTGATAAATAACTTTAATGTGTGGTATAATATAAAAAGCAATTGTTTCTCTATTTCTTAATAAATTTGTACAATCAATGAATTATTTAAGTATTATCAGTAATTTCTCTAAAAATCTTCCATTGGTTGGATTCTAAACAATGTGGTTTTGCATGATCACTGCAGATAAGAGCATTTTTTGTTTGGACATCTTATAATACTGACTGTTCCATCTTGTCTGGCCACCCTGAATAAATTTATGGTCTGGTAAATTAAATTTTTTCTAGTATTCCTGGTACTTTGCAAAAGCTGCAGGTGAGTGATTGAAGTGCCCAACTATTTGTTTACAAATGGAAAGCATATCCTTGACATACCTTTGTGCAAAGATGGCATCATTAATGGTCAACTGCAAGGTGTGTAGAAAACAAGGTAATGACTCATATTGGACTTGTACAGCTGCTGTTGCCATATTATCTCTTATGAGAACATGAATTTTACTATGAGAAATATTAAATTGCTGTACTGTCTCTGTGATACATTCGCTTATATTTATTGCAGTATGTGATACTTCTAATGAAGTAATTCTGAGAACTTTGGCTTTTTGTGCAGTGATCCAATAAGATGTTGCACTTAAAAAGGACAAATTTTCTGAACTAGCAGTCCAACCATCACTAGTCAGAGATAAAGGAATAGCAGTGTTGATTTCCTCTAGTATTTTATTTCTAACCTTCTTATATATACATTGCACAGTATTTTTTATTATATACTTTCAAGAAGGAATTTGATAATTCAGTCTTACCAGGTGTAACAGCAAAATTGTCCAACACGTGTAAAAGAAAAATTGTCCATTTGTTAGATTAAGCTTTGAATTATTGTATCTTAGAAATAATTAAAGATATCTTGCTGGAATTCTCCAAGGTTTTATATCACTATTGAGCTCTACTTTGGGCAATAAGAATGTATAATTACTCTCCAAGCTTAACAGAAGTATCATGATGAAATCATTCATAAACGAAAATGACATGTTCATCATTAATCAAAGCTAAGGATCGGAGATATATATATATATATATATACATATACACACACACACACTCTGATATATATAGATATATATATATATATATATATTATTATATATATATATATATATATATATATATTTTAAGTCTCTTATTTTTTGAAGTGCATTGAATTATTACCCTTAAATTTGTTCCATTCACTGAAAAATGCCACATATAAAATTTTAAGGTGATTGCATAATATTTAGAGGCTGCTTTTGCTTGTTAAAACTTAAAATATATAAATAAGGTGGACAAAAAAAATAGACCATTTTTTATTTTACAATTAATAGCAAATCATTAGTTGAATCATTACAAATTATGCACATTAGAAAACTAGAAACATATATATATATATATATATATATATATATATATATAATTAATACTTCTTGAATTCACTCTCGGGTGGTCATGTGTGACGTCATGAGCTGCAGTGTGATTTTCGCTTCCAGCGTCTTATATGCATGAGTTTGTCATTGCTTGGAAATCTTCCATGTAAACAGAAACAAACTATCATCACCGTCTTGTCCGTGTATTGCTTAATATATTGTAATGTAATTGTCATCTTTGATAATGGCTTATGTAAACCGAAAGCTCAGATAGGATTAAAAAAATATGTATCAATATTGTGATTTTCTTTAATTTTATTTTTAAATATTATTTAAGGAAAACTTTTGACAATGATGGCAAAAATAGCTATTTCATTTCTCTGATTCAGTAAATTTTTATCTATTCTATCTTCTATCTATAAAACTGACTGTGTGTGTGTGTGTGTGTTTGCGAACTACTCGAGAACCATAAGGCATATTTCCACCAAATTTGGAACATAGATTGTACTCGATGTGTCTGGACAAAAAATTAATCATTTTTCAAAAATCAATAACCGATAATCAATAAATATAATGTTTAAATGGGAATTTCCATTAGTTTGGTTGATTTTAAACTTTCAGACTTGAAGTCTAAACCCTGAGGCCGATTTTAATGAAACTTGATAAGTGTATGCAACTTAGTGTCATGCTTATTATATGCTATATTGATTTTCGTTTCTCTTGACACTGGGACCCCAGGGTACCCCAAAGGGACCCCCAAAAATTCAAATTGCTTCAATTTTGATGAAATTTTGCATGTTTGTTACGCTCTTACAATGAGATAGAAATCAATTTGTCAGATTTTAAAATGCATGAGGGGGCCCCAGGATGACCCTATAAACCCCTTGATGCCTCAATTACTTTTCAAGTGTATTTTGTAGCAGTATTCCCCAATTTCAACGAAAATTTCAGTATGTATTGAGATTATATTGAGTAACTGAAGTAGTCACTTGAAATTCACTGAAAATCAACACTGGGACCCCACAACTTAGGGGACCAGCAGGGATCCCTGAAATTTTCAATTAAGTCTACAATTTACAATTAAGTCGATTAAATAGAAAACTTAAAAAAGATGTGCTTTATTATTTCAATTACTATTAGTCTTAAACCTTTCCTTGGGCTTGAAATTTGGGACCCCTAGGGTAAACCAAAGTGATCCCCACATTTTCAAATTGCTTCGATTTTGATCTAATTTTACATGTATGTTACAATCTTAAAATGAATCAAAAACGATTATCAGATTTTGAAAACTACATAAGGGGCCCCCAAGATGACCCATGAACACCTTGCTGCTCCATTAGTCTTTCAATTGTAGTGGTTAGCAGCATTCTGATGAAAATTTGCACATAATCAACTCAAAATCAAAACTGACAACCCATGTGTCATAAATACATTATGTAAAATATCAGTTTTTTCCCATGGATTTCCCATTTTGGTACTGAAATGGTTTAGTTTGCATTAACTTGATGGCAAAAATTATATCCTTCCTTAAGAAAAAAAGAATAAGTGCAAACGAAAGTGTGTACCGATGAGAGAAGTGCACGTAGGCATAAGACACATGTGCGAGATCGATCGAGATGTGTAGTGTGTACAATTGATTTTGCTCCACGTGCAATGAGCAATCAAGTTATGTAGTGCGTACTATCAATTTTGTTTCACGTGTAGCGTTCATTAGTGCTATGTGATGAAATAAATGCAAAAAATTTCATTTGCATCAAAGTTGTCATCCAGTAAAAAGGTAGGCTGCCTTCATGCATGTATATTTTGAATTTTTGATACTTTAAATTTGTGAAAATCATATTAAAAAAGTTTAGGCGTAAATGCCAATTTCTAATTATGTATTTATCGTCTTCTAATCAGTGTTTAAATAATGCTTACTAACTCATATATTTGGAAACTTGCCCCCTAAAATTTTGAGTTTTATTCTGAAATATGCACTTATAATAATGTAAAGACGCTCTTTCGATTCATTTATAATTATGCTAAACTTAGCGTGTACGTTTTAACGTTCATAGTGAGTAGGTTTCTAGCTGCACGTTAATTTTTATTTTTATCACTAGAATGTTTTTTGGTAATCTATTTTTAGATAAATCCTAACTTTACGAGCTTGCTTATAATTGTTTACCATGTTCCCATAGTCTCCCTTATAAACTTGCATTTAATTTATTGTGGCTATATTTCCATTAATGTGTATAATATTCTTACTTTTTAATTGATTACTTCATTGTTATTCAAAAAGCTTAGCCAAACCCCTCCAACTACAGCCTGACAGAAAATGCCAATAAAGCAAAATCCTTCACTTGGAC